TCCTAGAGAGAGAGGAATGACTAGGTTGCTAATGGCCAACCATGTGCCGACATCAGCATTTGACTTCTGTTCTGTAATTGAAATCGTACAAATATCTACTCGGTCTCCTACGATTCTGACAACGTAATATTAAGGAATCCAAGTAAGTACTAAAATGAACAACAGGCAGACGAGATTTTAACTATAAAAATTTACGTATGTTACAAATAAGTCCCTGGTTTTAAATTTGGTGTCATCCGTTGCTTTTGCAACTGTGCAAAGGAATACCCATACAAATATATTGCACTTTTCCAGCTTATTCAGTATTGCCCTGCAATTCCCAAAAGAAATCAGTTTTTCCGTACAGTCTAGAGGACTAGCGTAGATAAGTAGAAAAATTAGATTTTCTATAACAGGATAGAAATTTAGTGGTTACTAATGGGTTACTGAATAAAAGATTCCAGATTATAAGCAAAACATGTGTCTAAGTATCAGGGAAAATCAGACAAAAATATTAAAAACATCGTTTTAAACTTCTAGGTACCAAGAATGTAAAAATATGTATTAGGTACAAAGGTGTATCTGTTGTCAAAATGGAGATTCATTTCAGACCAATTTAGCAGGTAGTTCTATATTCAGTTTTAAAATTGTGCAAGGGAGGGACCTCAAGCCTTTGTGTCTCCAACATTAAGGACAGTGAACATTATGGTTTCGCTCGTTCAAGAATGAGCAGTGTGCAAGCAGCACAGAGTGGTAACCACTATTACTGTGTATTTATTGAGGTGCGAAATGCTGCTGAGTGGAAGTACGTCGTTACTTGCGGCATCAAAAGAACAAGGATAACATGTTTTCCATTTTTACAGTGAACATATTCTTTGTTAACCGTTCAATCAAATGCTAGTAAAAAATAATATCTCAAAATTGTTCTTCGTTCAGTTAACGTAAAATATTGCGATAGATATGGCAATGTATGTGGAAAATCTCAGATTACTTTAACAAGTTAGCTTTAAGAAGAAAATATTTGTCTGATTCTATATAAATGCATTCAAATTCACTGAAGCACGTGTATTACTCACAGCTAAACCCGTACTGCTATGTTTGTAGCAGCGCGTGTCTGCACTTTTGGGATGAACGTAAGCGGCTTCAGGTGACCGTTCTCAGTTCTAATACGACTGAATATACACTTACATTGAACTACATACGCAGGCATAATAAAGCGCAAAATTTGTAGGATTATCGCTGGGCATATGCTAAGAAGTTTATGCGAATGCTTTTGTATATCTCTGCAGGCATCATCACATGTGCGCAGCTAAACGACGCAGCAGAAATGCCTTAAGAGGTACCAAGGCTGTGGATTTTTAGATATTCGTTACCAGACAGGCCACCTAATACGAATGCATAGTATGCATAGGTACTACTTACTGTACATATGTATGGTGGGCGGCATCAAGTTTCGGATTTGCCTGTCACTGTGGCTAGCCACAGGACGCCTGCGCCTACAGCTGCACCATGGATGGCTTGCGCTGCACCACCTACAGCTCCATCCACACACCCTGTATCCAGTGTAAACCCAAAGGAATAAGACCGGAAGGCATGCGGATGGGAGCGATGTTTCATCAACGGAGCCGGCCCACACTCCTTCACAGAAAAACACAAGCACGCTGTAGTTTGGATTCAAGCGCGCACACAAGGCAGTGGCTGGACCGTAGTCCGCTCCACCCTGAGTGCATGGAACCACTCTTCGAGCCTAGCACGACCACAAGGACCGTGCTTCCCGTCTCCTCCAGCAAAGACCAACTGTCTCCTGGAGCCAGGCTGGACGACTTAGTGGGTAATAGACAGATAGGCACCTTGTCAACATGCACATCAAGCGCAACCACACCTGGGATGTCAAATAACAGCCATTCATTCGAAATGCCTATATCGATTAAAGTGAATGCATATGACGATATAAATAATCGCTAAATGAGCATATAGAAGAAATTGGTTATAAGTGAATCGTTGATAAGTACAAAATGTCCGAAATGTATTTAAAAATACCACGCGATATAATTACGCAAGTTTACCACAATATGCGTGAGCGTCGTGTGCAAGTAAGGAGAAGGTTTTCAAGTACTAGGTCTTGTTAATGTGGTTAAAAATTATTACATGTTATATGGTTTGTTCTGCATACATATGTATACACCTATATTCACAACAACCGACACTTGCCTTGGTTCTCTTAACATCAGCAAACCCTCTAAACACAATCTAGCTTATCATAGGATGTTAGTAATGGTCAAACATAGACCATGGAAACCGTAACGGTCTTTCAGTACAACGCGTGGAAATTGGAAGGGTTTATGAGCGAAGATGTGTGTATATCAAATAACAGTACCGCCATGGGAAACGAAGACTGCTGATCTCACTTTAGCGTGTTCATCAGATATTCATTGGCACTTAACATGACCGGAATTCGCAATTACATATTTTTGAAGCATATATTTCTCGATGAGATCTTCAAGAAAAACGTTCGTATGACACCACCGCACAATTTATATTTGGACAATTTTATCTGCATATTACCAAGTGCGTATTTCAGCTTGTGTGTTTACCTATGAACATAGCATCAATAACGTTTGGTATATTTTGGATGATGAATTAATCCAAGAGCATACACCGCTACACATATAGACAATCACGCAGGTCAGCTTTCCGATCGTCAGCATGCCTACTAACAAAGAAGAAACGTTGAAAAATAGCGTGCTTTTTGTACACACACGGTTGGGCCAACTTGTTTGGCAGCCAGCACTCCGTCATTTCATGAAACTTGTGTGCATTATTACGCAAAGATACCCGAAACATGCGCCGAGGGTATAAGTTGTGCTTAGCTGTCAGCAGGTGAGGGGCAAAGGACGAAGCTGAAACCCGTTATGGAAAATGGTCAGCATTTGGAACGATTAAGGAGGTCGTATGCGTGACCTTTCATTTCATCCACTTTGGCACATGGTCTGACATATTCGCCTGCAGTTGACCAGCTGTCATGCGCTTGTATTCGACTTTGAAAATACATTAAATTAGCAAAGGTGTGAAGTGCTGGACCGAAGTACTGGTAGCTTAAGCGATGTGGAAGGGTTACACGTCGTTTTGTACAATAATGCTGGATGTGCCGCTGGGAAAATATCTGCCACCTCAAATTGCAAGTTTGTTTGCAACACTAGCTTAAATTCGTCCCCCTATAACGGTAATTGCTGTGTTGCGTTCCTTTTCGGTATGGTGGGTAATTCCTCTTCTGCTATATTGTTAATAAAATGATTGCAAGCTGGCACCTATTTTCTCTCGGTGTTGGTAAGCAGTTGCACCTATTGTTCGTTTTTTGAATAGCGTTCTTTTACACGGTTCACTTCCTTGTAAAGCGGATAATAAAATTTCTTATAGTCAGTTTCATTAGAGCTTGTTTAATTTCTGAAAGCACCGCTCAATGTTTGTCAATCGGATATCTGGTATATGCTATTTGAAGCAGTTATAACTCAATAGCTAAGTTAACACCGGCAGTTTCTGCAAGATTGAATGTAATTTAACTTTCTGCCCACAACCAATTGCAGAGCAGTGCTTTATTGATAATACATACTTTGTGCAAATGAACGATCAGGCAACATAACATGCGTCTGGTTAAAGATTTAACCGAAATCTGTACAGAAACCTTAGTGCATGAGTTGTGTTCCGCGTTGAAACAAGCAGAAATGTTTGTTGGAAAATAATTTGACGGATTAATAGAAGAGGATACAAAAACGAGCTAAGCGACTTGCTTCAAAATAACTTCTAACTGTAAGTTTACCTTAATGTCAATGTATAAAATTCCGTAAAATTTCTTAAGTACTAAATTTAGCAAATATTTTACAATATTTGTGTAGTATTTTCGGTGTAATTTCCTCGCGAAAGTTTTAAACTATTTGAAGGATCTATTTGCAAATTTATTTCATTGGAAGTTACTAATTGCAGTCTTTGCCGAATCATAGAGTACAAATAGAGGTTTTAACTTCTGTTTTTTACGTACAAATGTAATATATCCGTATATAAAACTAGTATAAACTGCAATAATTAAGGCACCAACAAATTTAAAATTAGGTAGTGAAATGTGTTCCATGGATTTTGCAAAGTGTCCCATGATAGATGAACAGGCCGCGCTAATTTCATAACCAAACATTTTATATCCGCCACTTAGGTGCTTAAATGTGCATATATTTTATAGTCTGTTCTAAAATTAGAAACTAGCAACGATTCCGCTTCACTTCAATTTATTCCTTCAACTGCACTTGTTAAAATTCGCGGGTAGCAATATCTATGATTAACAAAGACGGCGGCACATTCAAATTATTTTAACGATTCATGATAAAGAAACTTGGCCAGAACAAATTGAATCCTGCTTGTCGGAGAAAATATGTGACAATCAGTGAGAAAAATGATATATGAAAGTCTGAGACAACAACGCTGCATTAACATTGACGTGAGCTAGCAGCAGTCATTGATATTAGGAAATGTATGCTACATGCCATGGGAGGCAGGCTGATAAATATATATATATACTGTTTGCTGTCTAACTGTTTTAGTTAGTTAGAGTAATAGGTTGTATGCAAACAGGGCGCAGCTATTAAGTTTGCATCAACGCGGCTGGTTTGTGACCGTGATGCGTTTTGGGTAGTCATAATACACCTAATTTTTAAAAAGATCGGTTACCGCTGTGAAAAGATCAGTGTTCATTAGTACAATATTTCATCCGGTGTCTTCACTTAGCCCGTATTGTTTCGTCAACTAGGTTAACTGGAACTTGCTATGATTGAACACGATATTAACGCAAAGATGCTGACAAGAGTTGTTCTCATTAAATATAGTTTGACAGAGGTGTGGTTACTAGACCATAATTAATTAACTACGGCACACATAGATAATAAGATTGATAGCTGCATCATGTTATAAAAAGAATATCATTGTCATTGGAACTTCTCTACTCAAAGTGCTAACCAGAAGCTATTACTTTTCAGGAAGTGGCCGCTGTGTCTTTGGAAGTAAGCCTTAAATAAAGACAAATATAATGCATGTAAACAAATATTTCTTAAACTTAACAGGTTACGTTTGCGAAAAAAAGCAAATCATAAGGATTGTCTGATTGCAAGAACGCTAGAATTTACATAAGCTAGCAGAAACGCACTCAAATGTTTGTTTACACATCATGTTTGTTTTGTTAACAGAACCGATATCTAGTACTATATTGAGTCCCCTATTCAAAGTACTAAAACTGCAATGCCAGCTTTTCACAACTTAATAAATGCGTTGTTCTCTTTGTTAACGTCTGAAGGAATTGAGGTATTCACGATAGAGAGATGGCCAAATATAATGTAGCGACGCACCTAGATAACTAGCTTTTTACAAAATATAGCAGTATCGGAGAATGAATGAATACAAACATTTTATATAGCCTATTTTATTTAACGCAAAATATAATTATTTATGTGCTTTTAGCGTTGCAGTTGATTTCACTTCCACGGATCACAACATCTAAGTATATTTAAGTTGTACACACATACACGCTCATTGTGAGCAACGCGGGGTTTAGTACTTGTTTGAATAAAAGAAAACACACAAGCTGTATTTCATGGTGAAATAACGTTAGCCATTATTGGGCTATGCGAAGTCAAAGAAACGACAACGTAGTTCCCATGTGTGACTTTTAGCCTAGTGTACGCTACTTTTAAAGAGCCATCTGAGGACTACGAAATCATGAGAGACTAGAGGTCAGTAGCCTACAAATGCTAATGTCCCGTTTTAATCAGTAGGAAAACGCAAATTCCTTAGGAAAATTTCGCTGGTAGTGCTAGTTCAGCGTTTTAACTGTTGGACAAATATGTAAGAAGATGTATGTGCACCAGATGCGAATATGAGATGGGATTCAAGAAAATATACCAGTTGCATCCATCTACATTGTTTCGACTCACCATGGTAGTTCGTTAAACTTAACAGTTTTAGATAAAGGGCACTATGGGAGAATACCATTTTAATTGTGCATACGGTTAACAAGGAAATAACGTGAATGAAATAGGCGCTTCTTGTGCTCCTTTATATTAGAAACGTCAGCATGATCCTGTCACTGCATTTTATCAATAATAAAGTTGTGTTTAGTTTTTCTGTTGTAACACTGATTGTAACAGCTTGCACATTTTAATCAGTTCTTCTAGCATGTACATTACACCAACTAATGGGCAAACCTCAATTTACCTTGAATAATCCAATGTCCTCAATTTTCCACATTTTGCAAGTTTACCAGTCTAACTAATGTTAACCACCAAATTTTACAGTCACACAATATAACTACCACGTTATATTTATCAACCTAAACTAACAGTTAACGTGAATTTGCCTAACAGAAGTAAGTCAACTTTTATCACATCTGAGTAGTGTACAAATATGTATATTTCAAATTTCTGCATCGCTGGATTATAACTATTATTATCTTGAAAAATATAACTGTGTAGCAACGTCTCCCGCTTAAGATTATAAGAAACATGTTAGTTTACATGTAGGACATTTGTTGCATAATGTGTACCAAAACTTTACTGAACAATTTATTCTATACATGGCTTACATAGTAGGGTTCAAATAATATCCAACTGCTAATTTAAAATACGTAGACAAGCAAAGAACGCTGCAAGTCAGACGCTAATGGTTCATCTATTTTGCTTGATACCCAACATAATCATCAAAGTATTATTGAATTTTACAGCCTCTTCCTGGCGAGAATTATAAACAGATTACTAATTATCCACGATAAAGTTAGCAACGTACAACCAAAACTCAACTTGGACGCCTTTCTTTACTCAGCATTCGACTTGATTGACTATAACTTGAATGCAGTAGGTAAGTATGGCAATATATATGTAATATTTTGTAATAGTTTACATACATTATTGGACTACTAAAAATATATTAAACGAGTAGTTTGCTATTTATTAGAAAGCTTTGATATTGCTTCGAATGAATTTATCGGCGGATAACTCAAGACTTTTATTTAAAATACTATTGACCCGTCTTCACAATATGGGCAGTCTTTTAGAATTATTGGTTAGTTGATGCAGTTTTCCCATAATTAGCATTTATTTTGCAAATTGTCGCACTTTGCTTAGCGCCATTTGCAGCCTGCAAACGTATTGTTATGCCTTCCTTTTGGCCGTCATAAGTTTAGCGTTATTCCTAGCACGTGCACTTTGGGGCCAAACGTTTTTTATATGCAATGACTTACCAGTACTCTAACGAATTAGAGGGCGGCAAATTCGCAACAACACAAATGTTCAGTGAAGCTCTACATAAAATTACGTGCTTGTTATCAGCCGTAATTAATCAAAGTGCTTAAAATTAGCTAGTAATTATATATACACACAGTAGCAAGATTATGTATAATAATTTGTATCATAACCATGAACGTCAAACGAAGGTACGGCTATCTTAAACGTGAAGTGGAACATATCACATAACAATGCATGGTTTGGTTCATGAAAACGATCAACATTTGTCATGCCGAGGTTGAGTGAAATATTTGGGTACACCATGGCGAGCATTTGCTCAAACAGTTTGCCTGCAAGCAAACGGAGCGAATGCAGGAAGTAGCGCAGCTTGGAAGCCGGCAAATGATTCTTTAGTTTGTACAACTTTCGTTTGTTTCGTCGTTATACAAGGCTCCAATCCACCTGAAATAAAGGTTGTGTGATCCAGTGTAAACTTAAATTGCCCAAGTAACTATGTTGGACATGTCAGACAAGCTAATTGATTGCATTGCATAGTTCTCAGAAATATATGGGAGATATAATGAATAGATTATACTGTGGTATTTAAAAGTCCATAAACGTAAACCTAAAATAATTAACTGATTTTTGCTGTTTGGTGCATTTAGAGAATACACCACAGCTACGCGGTGCTAATCAACATTACTTTTATGACCAACTTCTGGCGACCTAGAAGGAAAAGAAGCAATACATGGGAATACGTCCTGACTCGCATACCAAGTGTATCAAAATGCCTTTTAAATAAACTTCTTAGTTGCACTTGTGTGATGAGTACAATTCTCCAATTGTCAAGTCGCTTCCTGCAATTTCCTAAAAGTAAACAGGCATCAACGAGCATGGGTTAGAAGTATATTTGATTCGGAATCGAAACCGAAAATTCCAGTATATGCGTAATGTGACCAGATGATCGTGAGGTTATCAAGTTTCTTAACATTGCCGAATAGAACTAAGTTATCTAAAAAGAGGCGCTTTAGTCTAAGCAGTATAAACAGCCAAACCAACGGTCTTAGGAACGTGGCACTACTCAGCGGTAAAAATCAGTAGGGAATTTTGTATTTATCGTGGCACCCGGAACGAACTATTTTTAGAATGCATGATGGATACTTAATAACTTAAAGCCAGCGCCTTAACAAACCAATTATCAGTTTTTCATTAATTTTCTGTACATTTCAGTAAAGGACGAAACAAATTACCTTACAAGTAGGTTTTTCTTGACCTTAGTACGGAATGCCGTTTGAAAAATAACCTAATATATCTTGTAAAGGTTTTAACCAGCGGTTTGTATTATGGCCAAAAACCTGAAACATTGAAAATTCATCAGATGACCAAAAAATGCGCAACCCAGCATAATTCCTCAAATATCCATAAAAACTTCCTATTTAATACTGTCCAAAAATTTTGACATGCTTCATGTATATACTAGAGTATATTATCATGCCATGTGATATTAAATGTTTTGCAGGAAAATCAAAATATTTATGCTATTTAGAATGTCTATTTACTTAACACCTAGTAGTTCACAATTATCTTTATGATTCGTTCTCAGAACATATTTTGAGCGTTTTTGGTTTAAAGCGAGGGCACAATTTAATAAGCACTTCCCTAGTATTGGTATTTTATTATGGATTGTAGCAGCCAACAATGTTTGATAGTCTAGGCATTATGATGCTACACAACTTAAAATGGATGCAAAATACACCCATGCGTTTTTTTACATTTTGAGCTAACTGGGCCAATTTCGTTTAGATTTACACAGAACCATCGCTTTGTGGTGTGCTATAAATGCACTGCGGTAGAAATAGATTTGACTTACAAGAGCATCCAGGACTTACAGTTTGCTAAATAAAAAATAACTCTGTGAGTAGTAACAATAATCCGTATATGTCTCGTGTTAAGACTATGTTCCCCATAAGCATGCTAACTAAAGAAATGAGACACATTTATCTCTTCATACTTTTTGTGTGCTCATAGCTGCAAGGCACAGAATTTCATGCGCTTTAGCGTTAAGTTTAGAAAGCTTTCGTTTTTTTGAAATGATGCACAATTTAATAGGTATGCAGCTGGGATTAGATTTAAGGTGGATGATACACATCTGAGGAGAAACGACTTGGAATTGACAGGTCTAATTTGGGATTAGGGGTTTACCTTCAATCCTGTGATAACCTTGTGAACATGCAGTTGCCCGTGCTATCTACAACGAAAGAAATTCAATTGGAATAAAACTGTTAAATTACACACCCTTTGGGAGACCGACCAGCAGGAAAGCTTCTCCGAGTAAGTAGTTGTTAAGGTGCTGCAGCCGCTTTGCTAAATTTGGACAGCAATACGCTTTTGCGTGCCAACTATGGCAGGCCGAGTTAACTAGGTGGTAATGGGTAAGGCAATCGTAGAAAATTAGGGAAATAATCTGGGTAACCGATTACCCACCGATGTATTCTTTAAATGGCAAATTAGCAGGGCACAATTTCAAGTGTTTCAAATTGCGAGATTAGCATGCACTGGTTCTGTCGTTGATGGATTTATGGGTAATTGACATTCGCTATCTGAGGCAGATCCACTCGCCTACACTCTTCAATGTTGGGTTTTTAAGGAAGCGCACTGTACATTGCCGAACCCAGCCCGTTCATTTGATTTACATACATTGTCTTTGTGGCAGCTGAGAATGTGTACTCCTAATGCAACAGTGACGCAAGCAGCGTTCAGCACTTCTGGGAAAGCAAAATTATAAATTC